TGGCAACACTGCATGGTAGGCCGATTTCCTAATTTAACTTGACAGATTTTGGGTGTATTTTATATGTGTTTTGGGTGTAATATTCCAATTTACCTGTTTTAACAGAGCGAGATTGCGACAATTTGTGTTACTCCCTACGGAACAAACAGAAATTATTGTTCAGGTAAGTTGCTAAACGAAATATATCGATTTGTTGTCATAACCTCTAAAGCAGGCTACTCCCTACTGGACCCTTTACAAGCACTTGTATTGGTTCAAAGTACCTGTACAAGCTCAAATATGACCTACACACTACGTGGTACGTAAGTACGGTAAGTGTTTATCGTGAAAAAATACAATTAGTTTGTATTTCAGGTTTTCTAGCACAGACATGTCAAATCGATTTTCTGAAGGAACCTTTCAACTTATTCCCAGGAGTTCACGGTACGGGAATTTGAAGTCTATGGGGCTCCCCTCTTTAAAAGCTGCGTACCTAGACCCACTGCAGTAGGGACTGGCTTAAAGTCTGCCATTCCGAATCACATCTGGTCGTTAATAAAACCTCGCTAATTCACAGCGATTTACTGTCCTTTTGGCGAAATTAAGTGCTCAAGCGTGTGCTTCACTTCGACATCTTTCGACAGAAGTTCACCAATTTCGGAGATCTCAATGGAAAACACATTATGATGCAGTTACCAGTTTACAGCGTTCCGAATTTTAAAGTCAAATAAAAATGTTATTATCCATTTTTGTAAATAAATAATATATATGCACAATTTTAAGCTGCCTAAGTATCTTTCTTCTATATTAAAACCGCCAAGGCGAAACACAGGAGAGAGGAAAATGCCATTTTTCAGGAGCAACAAGACGCCATTAAAACTTAAATCGGCCCACCGATTGACTTTCGAACAACGTTGCCAAACTTCTCAGCATGGCTTGTAATTATAGACGGCTGTGCCTGTACTTCAAATGTGTCAACCAGTGACGTTTATAGAAGCGCGGGAATGCGCGTGAGCATATCTATTACCGGAAACACGTGAAATTTGACGCAAAATGGCGGCCGATCTCAACAACCAATCAAAAATTAGACCTCTATTGTCGCCACTGTCTCTATAAAGTCACTGTATTCATTTCGGCCCAGGGTCAAATTTCGCCAGTCGGTCGCCCATTTGGACCCGCGTCATCGGTGATCGACCGGAAAATGTTTTTTTGGGGTGGAGATTCGAACCCACGATACCTGAAATCTGCACTGCATGCGCCAAGGTTATCGTTATTGACTGTTTAAATGTCATTGACCTCTTTGAATGCGGAACCAGATCCCTAACCTAAAGACAAATTCAAGTGAGCAGGCCTGTTTGTGGTGGATAGACCCGCTTATTTAACCGATCTGTTTCTGTTAAACATAATGAATTTGTGTTCAGGTTAGAGATCTAGGTTCGCATTTAAAGAGGTCAATGACACTTAAACGGTCAATAACCCTTTCGCCAATGGCCTCGGAACTTGGCGCATGTAATCCATATTTCAGACGATGGCGAGTCAACTGGCAAAATATAGCACTCCAGGCCGACTGCAGAAAAACGACCTACCAAAATATGATCTCGCAGCCTGGGCCAACTGCCAAATTTTGACCCGGGTCAGCGGGGCAGAACGGTGCACTGCGCCGGGTGCAAAGGCGCACCTCCGGTCTGCTCCGCCTCGTCGAGATAAACTTCGGGCGCAGTAACTGGTAACCGGGGAGAAGAGGAGGGGAGAGTTGCGTTAGGTTTACAATTAGATGCAGCTTCCGACGTGGAAAGAATGTAGAGGTGAACGACGTGGAAAATGCGAGTTACGTTTTTTTTTCGAAGATATCTGTCAATTCCCCTATATTGAAAGAAAATGGCGAACACTCTTATACAGGGTGATTCCTATAGTACCTGCCACCGTTTGGGAGCGTATAGGGGGTGCCTAGGGGAGTATCTTGATATAGGACACTTGGGGTCGGAAATCTAAAATAAGGGCGCCAGAACCAAATTTATCTTCTAGAATTTCACGCCTGTATGTAGGCAACCCAACCGACCGACGTTTCGCGCGGAGCGATGCAGAGCGAGTTAGCGCGAGGAAGCGACATGGGAGGGAAGGAGGGAAAACGACAGTCAAAAGCAATAACGTTTACAAGTGTTCAACGTGGCCACCGTTGTTCTCAATGCACTTCCTACATCTAGCCAACTATTATTATACTATTGCCATAGTGTTTATTCACTTGATACGCGTCGTTGCAGACGGGATTTCGTGGGTTTAAACAAAATTCTGATCATGTGTCAGCCACACATCGCCGCCTGAGATCGCTCCGTGTGCACCGCCGGCCGGTTGGGTTGCCTACCTACAGGCGCGAAATTCCAGAAGGTAAATTTGGCTCTGGAACCCTTATTTTAGATTTCCGACCCCAAGTGTCCTATATCAAAATACTCCCCTACGCACCACCTACACGCTCCCAAACGGTGGCAGGTACTATAGGAATCACCCTGTATGTTAATGCGGTTAAAAAATCTACCTACACCTGATCGGTAGAGTCGAAAAGGATTTTTAAATCTCAAGAGTAACAAGGGACAAGTATTCGTTTTTCTTAGAAACAGTGACTCCTTGAGTCGAAAAGGACCCCCCTCCCCCCAAGCAAGAGATGCCGCAACAACACAAACATTCGTACATTGAGGTTAGATTTCGCGATTTCAGGGTTCCGAGCGTTTAAAACAATGAGCGAAATCCATTGCGCATGCGCAGTACGATTTTTAACTCGGCCATTTTGTTTGCTTCTCTTAGCTACTATAAAAATTTCGATCAAATTGCTCCACAAATAAGGAACTTCAGTACGATTTTCGGTACATTAATTTTGTTTGCTTTTATGTTATTGACATGTATATTGTATTTGTTTTGATTCGAAGGATCAAATGCCACAATTTCAAAAAAGTTCTGGTGCTCATTTCAGGAGCTTTTACTCAACTTTACAACTTGATTCTCAGCACAGACTCTCCTATTGCTCAAACCCTTAGGCCCATTGCAGAGCCGTCTGACGCCAAACACTAATACCATTTCCTCTACGAGGGCAGACCTCCCTAGATCCTCCCCTAAGTTAGTAAGCAGATTCCCAGAACCGTAGGACCTTTCTGACTTTTGGGAGTTTTCTAAGGCCCTTTCCACAGATTTCTTGTCCTTGTCCAGAGCTTCCTAGGCCCATCCCAGAGTCTTTAAGACCATTCCCCAAATTTTTAGGCCCATTCCAGAGCTCTATACGCCTTTACAGGAGCTTCCTAATATTCCTATACCCATCCACTGTTTTGTAAACCAATTTCAAAACCTCTTAGACTCTTGCTCTTGTTAAACCTATTCCAGCGCCAATCTGATCCATTTCAAAACATTTTAGACTCGCTTGAGATATTCTAGACGCATTCCGGAATTTTTTACTTAAATTTGAGACCTGTCAATGTATAAATGAGAGATTGTATTTCAATTATTCTTAGAAAGATTCTCGGAATCATTTTACCTTCCTACGCGTCTTCTAGTTATTTTCTTACAAAACAAAACTTTAAAACCTGATTAGCACTCTTACATTTTTGTTTCAAAAATATTCTAGAAAGCTTCTTTAAAGCATGCTACTGGTTATGCACGATTATTTTGTATGCACTTGACTTTAGAATCCCTGAATTTCAATCAAATTGCTTGACAAATGAGGAAGTTGTCTATTGCGCATGCGCAGTACGATTTTTAGTACAACCATTTTGTTCGGTTGTGTTAGAGGAACCTACCATATAAATTTCGATCAAATTGTTCTACAAATAAGGAAGTTCTCTAACACATCCTAATTTTCTCTGGAATTTGTGCGATTAGGCGATTGATAAAATCTGTTATACCTTAACCTCGCACTTGGGGCAGGTTTTATAACAGTCGGTTGACCCGCGATTGGGTCTCAACCGATTTTTGTGTTTTAGAAACGTCGCGCGTGAACTAGCGCGTCGTATTTCAGGGAGAATGATATTTCAGAGAGGACAGTGACCCATTAGTAGACCAGGACGCAAGGGAAACTGCGCCTAGAAATTTTCGCTCGCGCGTGGATCATTATGACCGGTGGGATGATGACGAGTTTCTAGCACTGTCCGATATTTTACCACAAAATCCATTAATTTGTGGCAATCGCCGTCGCTGTATTTAGAGCAAGTCATTTTTAGGCACAGAGCAAACGCGGTACTCTGGTACACAGCAGGCGAAACTGTCAAATCACATATCCAAAACCAAAACAATAGTCAGCTGATCGGCTGCCATCCGTGTCCCCACGCGCGGCTGGGGAATCAACTGTTGCACTCTCATTGGTTGGAATTTTCCAGGCAGTACTGCCACCCGTAGGACTTTTGTATTCGTTTTCGGGTAGATCAAATTCCAATCAGGAGAAACTAAATTCGTCCCCCACAATACGTTTTAGACGCTGTCGAGTTCAGGTTACTGTACTCGTCGAGATAAAGGCGCTTGAACTAGTGCCATTGGGATCTTTTAACTACAAAGAAATGTTGCAAAGTATGGGAGAGCACGTCATAATGAATCACATCCCAAATGAGAATCAGTAGTTACTCGCCTAAGTGCACCACGCCACCACAACTCGCCTATAAATATACAAATGTTTAAACTTTATTTACTCCCAACCCCCTTCTATTTGTAAATCAAACTTTGAAAGAAAAACTTGCACCTCCTGTACAATATTTCTGTGAGCGCCCATCCACCATTCAATTTTTTCTCTGTGTACTCCGATTGTTATAAAAAAGACAACTTTTGTGGCTTTAAGTTCTACAAACACAGAGGAAATTAATATTTGCTAGATCAAAAATAAGACTGCGAATATAATATTGTTCCTTCCATATGGGAGTACGCAGCATTGGTTAGTAAATAATAAGCTAGGTGGACATGGTCTTGACTAACTCAAGAAATTTGTTTTAATTGAGCGTTAACCTCACAGCCACGTCCTTTCTTAATTTTTTGCATGCAGAGATACTTACGTATCACGTTCGGAAGAGTCGCGCGCCAGAAGGTCGTACATTTGACTATTTTGTGACGACGTATTGACCAGAAAAAGGGAACTCTTGGCTGAAAAAAAACAATAACGGTAGCGCTGCGATCGATCGACCTGGTCGGGGGTTACTCACAAGCTGCATTCGCTCTGACTAACAGCGTGGAAGTCTTAATAATCGGCGCTAGGGGTTGTTGCGTGGGCGTGCCCGCCTGAAAGAACTTCAGGACGTACCTTTCGGCGTCCTTTTGTAATAAAATCACAGCTTCTTCTAATAAAACTATATGTAAAGCTACTGGTTGCTTATTAGGCCTTCTTAAGTGCATTGTACCTTCGTGTATCAAACTATACCGAGTTAAGTCTACGTTTTTAAATTCATTTACAATAGCGTGATCAGTCTTCTCGAAGATCGAGGTGTCGAGATGCCTCTGTATGTCCTCGAGTCTGGCACGATTGCAGGCGATCTTCGCCGCCTCGTTGACGTAATTTACTATCTCTTTGGAACGATCGTGCGCCAGCCTCAACTTCTGCAATTCGACCAGGGCCGCGTCGGGATCCCGCTGCCGGTGTTTCTCCTCGATGTGTATTAACCGCTCGAGAAGCAGCGGATACTTCGAGAGCCTCTGCATTTCCGTCGGGATGATTCCCTGAAGCGGCAGGCGCCGACAGAGGGGGTGTTTTTCGTGGTCGCTGAGAAAACTGTCGAACCTCGACTCCTTTTTCCGCCTCTCCTTAATGAACTCGAGGGCGAGCTGCTGGCGTTCGCAGAACGCGGCGGCGCCCGCCTGGAAATTCTCGCCGACGACGCCGTCGAACTAAAAAATGATGGTTAGAGGTGCGAAAACTAAGTAGCGCAATGTACCATGTTCAAGAGCATATCGCCTATGTCTTTAATTACGGGATTCTCTTTCCTTTTGTTCTTCATCGTCGTGTTTAGTTGTGAGTGGATTTCCAATAGATCGCCGAGATTGGGAAAAATGAGATTGATCTCCTCATTTTTGAGAAGCTTCGATAACTGTAAAGGTTTCTTGAACAAATTTTCTAACACCCAGAGATTCCGAACATGTGATCTTTCCGTGTGGAATAATTCTGGAATTATATGAACACATTAGCTTCCCAAACAGCAGTAGCAAATTTTGAAATACCATGTATATTAAAATTTTGTATGATATTGAGTAGCGAATACAATGATTGAAAACGGTTGGTTTTAACAGGATGGTGCACCCGCGGACAACGCCCTAATCGTGCAAGATTACTACAAATTTTTCCACGAAATTTATGAGAAGTATTTTCGCACCATTAGGGAGTTTTCGCGCGTGTTGAAATTTGAAAATTCGATGCAACATGGCAGCTGGGCTCCTCTAGTCGCCAATGTGTCTAATATAGTCACTGTACCTTTAATTTTTACCAGCGCCATCTAATGCATAAATCTATAGGTGTAATTTTACAGTTTTGAAAGGTACATGTAATACTGGTGTTCAATAAAAGGCGCCTAAACACAGTGGATTTATAGAGACAGTGGCAACAATAGGAGTCCAGCCGCCATGTTGCATCGAAAATTGAAATTAGAAGTATGCAACGCACAATACACGTATGACATATGTTGCATAAACTACAATACAATATTATATACACTCGATGCAACATGGTTGCCGTTCTCGACAACCAATCAAAAATTTGACATGGTACGTGGAACCTTTTCTAGGTAACCAACCACGTAAAAACAATGGTGGCAGCCGCAAATCTTATTAGCATCTTTTAATTGCCGTGGTCTCGCCATAAAGAGAGAAAGAAGCAGTAATTAAAGAAACAAAGTTGAACTCATAATATAAATTAAGGGATACTAGGAATTTCGACTAAATGTTAGCACGACTCGAAGTAAGATGATTAACGCGCCAATCTGAGCCTATCCTTCTACTTGGGGTGTTGCCAGATTTCTTAAAAATGGTGGGCTGCTTGTCCCTTGTCCGAATATCTCACACCTCAAAAGTAATTCAAAATTTTTGGACGTTTCTTCGGAATATTCCCAAAAAGGTTTTCAGGAAGACCTCTAAGAGGGTTCTTGTGAAGTCCCAATAAATTTTCTAAGATTTATAAGATCTTAAGGTATTACCGGGTATTACAGAAACAATGTTGTGAGCTGTCTGCGCTTGCGCAAACAACAATGGCACACGCGCGGAATCATTTCTTATTTTCTTCACTTTTGCGAACTTACTCAGTACATTCAAGCAAAAGTCATTGGTTATATGTGTTAATTTTAAGATCAACATTTGATATCTTGGGGGATTTCCTAGAAGTTTTGCACAAGAACCTTTATGGAATGTTAGTTTCCTAGGAAGAGGACGAAAATACGAAGATTTCCAAGAAGGTCCTTAAATATATTTTGAAGAAGACTTACGTAAAGAATTTCCAAGAACGTTCTTTTAGAATATCTTCGAAAAGAGGATAAAGAAGTAGACAAAAATAGTTTATTTCGGTCACCACCAAAAATAATGACGGCATTCGTGTATATAATTAAATTAGAAAATTGCGTGTAAAAATGTAGGGTCGATTACGATAAGGAGTCTATCGGACGAAATTTAATTAACGCACGTGTTCTTATCGCCGTTACGAGATAGTGTTTCAAAAAATTGCGCATTATTTTCGGCGCAAGTGGGGACACGGTCCTACGAACGTGGCGTTATCAAGTGTAATTGTGATTGGCGGTTTTTTTGAAAATCCGTAAGAAAGAGATTTATTTCATAGTGGAAGTGGCGTTTGCTTAAATACGAGAATCAAGGTAAAAATGAGGATGCTGCTGCTGCAAGTTCGACAACGGTGAAAGTGATGGAATGTATTTCTTTTACTCGGTTGGTCCATTTTCAGAAAAATCAGTTCGAGTGAGTAAATAAAGCAGTTGTCAGCTTAGTACAACCATTCTAAAAGATTTGTCTTTCATTCAAAGTCAAAAGCTTCTACCGTCTGAGCAGCCACCAAAAATTTGTTATTTATCAAGCCAGTTCGCGTCATTGAGTTCAACTAAAAAAAAGTGAAATGACAAGTGCGCCTGAATATCGCAAAGTATTCACGACCAGATTATTTGGATTTTTTATTTTGTTTTATGTTTAATTACCTACCGACCGGCTGTGGGCGAGGTATTATGTCCTAAGAAGCTTCTTTTTCTCTCAGGGACTTTGTTTTAAATCTTTCATGTGTTACGGAATAAATGTTTGTCATTGTCAATCAATTAATTGTGTGTTTATTCGAAACCTTTGTGCGACCCATATAGAATCTTCATGTCAGATGACACGTAAGGTATCGAATATGGAAAGATTTAATTGCCTTTTCACTAATACCATGAGAGTGCTAAAGCTAATGGGAAAGAATTTTCGAGCCGTTCTTTACCTAGGATACTTGATACCCCTAGAACTACATTTTTTTTCCAAAAACGTTGAACTTTCTCATGATAATTTTCGAGGCAAGAGCACAATCCTGATAAGAATGTTAAATACTGAGCGATTTGATTTTGAAGAACGTACCACCAGGGGGGGGGAGGTAAGCCCCCCCCCCCATACACGACTATTTGATTACCTTTTCGCAGATTACCATGACCCCAGACCCCTGATAATAAGACTTCTTTCCAAAAAAAGCTGGTGAGAGAAGAGGATGGGGGGAGATGTGGTCAAGAAAATGTTTTACAGGTAGAAATTACGTATTGTAAAAAGTATTTGTACTGAGTGGTTAAATAATAATGATGGAGTGCCTTATCTCAGAAGGAGCAAGCAGAACGGTATTCTCTGTAAAATTTTAAAATATCTAAAACCACTATTGTAAAAATCTAGAAAGAAAACGCTCTTTTTCCATTTTAAAAACTGGAGGGGGGAGGGGGTGGTCATCAAGAAAATACTTAAAGTATAACTTTTTTCTAGCTGTTGTGCAAATAAAACAATTGTACCGAGTGACCAAATAAGAATGACAGAGTTCTATATTTCAGAAAAGAACCACTTGGGGAGGGGGGGACACCGGATTTTCTTTGAAAAAACAATACAATCGTAAAAATCTAGAATGAATGAAGTATGGGGGGGGGGGGGGGATCTAGAAAATGATTTAAAAAATATCATTTTTCTGTTTCACGGATTTTTAAGACGTTAACTGGTATTGTCAAAATGAGGCTGTGCTATGTCCCAGAAAGTAGTCCTTGGGGGGCCAAAGAGAACGAGAATGTCTGGACAATATTAAAACATCTGAAAGAGTGCTATTGCAAACATGTAGAAACAAAACGCCGTTTTTATATTCCGTCTTTCTTTACCGAGGGTACTTGCTGGGGGTATTCCATACGCATACCCCGTCAGAACTACGTTTTTTTTCCAAAAACGTTTAACCTTCTCACGATAATTTTTGAGACAAGAGTACGATCCTGATATGAATGTTAAATGCTGTGCGATTTGATTATGAAGAACGTACCTCCGAGGATCTGGCAGGTAGAGACCGGCCCCCCCACCATACGAATATTTGATTACCTTTTCGTAGATTATCATGACTCCAAACCCCCCCGGTAGGGGAGAAGATGGGGCAGATGTGGTCATCAAGAAAATGTTTTAAAGTAGAAATTACGTATTATAAAAAGAAAGTAATGTACCGAGTGGTCAAATAATAATGACGGAGTGCCTTATCTCAGAAGGAGCAAACAGAACGGTATTCTCCGTAAAACTATGAAATATCTAAACCACTATTGTAAAAATCTAGAAAGAAAACGCTAATTCTTCCATTTAAAAAAATGGAGGGGGAGGGGGTGGTCATCAAGAACATTCTATAAAGTATAACTTTTTTCTAGCTGTTGTGCAAATAAAGCAATTGTACCAAGTGACCAAATAAGAATGACAGAGTTCTATATATCAGAAAATAACCAATTGGGGAGGGGGGGGGGGCTTTTCTGTGAAAAAAACAATACAATCGTAAAAATCTAGAATGAATGAAATATAGAGGGGGAGGGGAGGGGGTAATCTAGAAAATGCTTTAAAAATATCATTTTTCTGTTTCACGGATTTTTAAGGTGTTAACTGGTATTGCCAAAATGAGGCTCAGCTATGTCCCGGAAAGTAGTCCTTGGGAGGCCAAACAGAACGGGAAATGTTTGTACAATGCTTGTACAATATGAAAACATCTGAAAGAGTACTATCGCAAACATGTAGAAACAAAACGCTGTTTTTCTCTTCTGTCTTTCTTTAACGAGGGTACTTGCTGGGGGTATTCCATACGCATACCCCCCAAAACTACAAACTAGAACTACGTTTTTTTTCCAAAAACGTTTAACCTTCTAACGATAATTTTCGAAACAAGAGTATGATCCTGATAAGAATGTTAAATGCTGAGGGATTTGATTTTGAAGAACGTAACCCCCCCTCCCCCAGCATACGACTATTTGATTACCTTTTCGCAGATTATCATGACCCCAGAACCCCCCGGTAGGGGAGGAGATGGGGCAGATGTGATCATCCAGAAAATGTTTTAAAGTAGAAATTACGTATTATAAAAAGAAAGTAATGTACAGAGTGGTCAAATAATAATGACAGGGTGCCTTATCTCAGAAGGAGCAAACAGAACGGTATTCTCTGTACAATTTTAAAATATCTAAAACCACTATTGTAAACATCTAGAAAGAAAACGCTCTTTTTCCATTTTCAAAAATGGAGGAGGGGTCATCAAGAAAATTCTATAAAGTATCACTTTTTTGTAACTGTTGTGCAAATAAAACAATTGTACCGAGTAACCAAATAAGAATGACAGAGTTCTATATTTCAGAAAATAACCACTTGGGGAGGGGGGGGGCAGAGGATTTTCTTTGAAAAAACAATACAATTGAAAAAATCTAAAATGAATCAAATATAGGGGGCGGGGGGATCAACAAGGAAATGCTTTAAAAAATATCATTTTTCTACTTTACGGATTTTTAAGACGTTAACTGATATTGTCAAAGTAATTTTACAGGGTGGTCAAAGAAGAATGAGACTGTGCTATGTCTCGGACAGTAGTCCTTGGGGGGCCGAACAGAACGGGAATGTCTGTACAATTTTAAAACATCTGGAAGAGTACTATCGCAAACACGTAGAAAGAAAACGCAGTTTTTCTCTTCTGTCTTGAAAAAAGGGGGGCGGGGGCATCAAGAAAATGCTTTAAAATTGTTTTCCTAAAATAAAATAATTGTACCGTGTGACCAAATAAGAATGACGGAGTTCTATGTTTCAGAAAGTAGCCACTCATTGAGGGGGTGGGGGCGAAACCGAACACGTTTTTCTGCAACATTTTAAAACATGTAAAACAATTGCCAAAATCTAGAATGAGAACGCTCCGTTTTTCTTTGTCTTGCAAAAGTAAAGAGATTTGGGGGGGGGGGGGGGGCTAGATGTGAAGATTTGTATAAAGTTTCTACAAAGATTCGTAAGAACGTTTACAAGATTTCGAAAAGAGGTTTCTAGAATGTTCCAACATTTCTGGGATTTTAAAGGTTTTTCAGAAGGTTTCAAAAAAGCCTCTTATCAAGAACAAATGTCTTATGCTATATCTTCGGAGGTCTCAAGAAACCTTTTAGAGATAGGTGGCTCCAAAAGCTCAAAAAATGCACATTTTGAAAAGTCTCAAGGGCTACAGTGACTCTAAAGAACTCAGCTATTAGCGTAAGAGGATTGGAAAGGGTCTAGAAAACTCTGAAATGAGCCTACAAATTTCTGCAATGGTGCTTAGTCTGGGATGAATCAAGAAACCTCTGGAAAGGTCCCAGAAAGTTGTGGGGTCCTAGGAAGCTCCGGAAAAAGTTCAGAAATCTATAGAAAGAGCCTAAAGGTTATGGAATTGAGATAAAAAATTGTTAACTCATCCAATGCCAAATATTTCTCTGGGAAAGGTTCTGAACTAGGCTTAAAAAGTTGCAGAATTCACTTAAACAATTTGGAGTAGGTTTAGGCAGCTCTGGAAAAAGTATAGACAGCTCTAAACGGTGGCCAGAAAGGCATGAAGAGACTCAAATAAATAGAGAAAACCTTAAAAAGACCTAGTCCAGGCCGCTCTAGGATGACCCTAAAATGGTCTTTGTGGAACTAGAACACTGAATCTAAATTCTGAACAGCTACCTTCTAATAATACTCAGATATTCGAATCCAAGACGGGAGTAATGTAAAGGGACACGGAAAAAATCAAGGAATCGAGGAATTCTGTTGCAAAAGGTATTTGTCTACCAATTAGAAGGCGTTGCCAAAACAACAGATATGTCGACAAGACAATTACACACCATTTATAACGTCCTGCCTCTTCCTTTCGTGCGGACTCAAATTGGCGAGCTCGTCTTCGGGAACCGAACTCTGCCAATCGGACGGGTCCGCGTCGATTTCCATATCGCTATCCCATCCCGTGCCTGCCGGGTGGGCGGTGGGAAAGCTCGAGACCGCATCGAGAGACGTACTCGGGCTCTCCGACGAACGGCTACAACACGAGTAATTAGTCGCGCACGGTGAGCGGGGCTCCTCCGTACTTACCTCGATGACAAACTGGAATTCGAGGAACTGCCCGAGTGGGTCTGGTACGAAAGTCCGTGTTGGTCTAGGTCGACGGTTTCACTGCAACGGGAGAGAGCGGTTAGCGGTGGCGGGTTTGGTGCGATACAGGGTGAACCTGTGCGAGGCTTACCCTGTATAAAAAGTGGCAGTGCGAAAACTAGGCGTGCGTCTAGCGCGGGAAGTCATGTTTAAACGGCGGGTACATGTCGTTGATCGGGTTTTCACAACAATAAACGACTGTAATCGCCACCGACTGATAACTATTAATAAACCAATTACGTGCAGAGATGATTATAGTAATGCGCTTTCGCATTGTCCCCAGTTACTGGAAGATGTGCGAGCGCCGTTTTATTTTTAAAAACCGCGGATATTTTAAAAATAAACAATTGAAAGTATAATTCAACAGAAAATAAAATCTTGAAGAAATGCATTATCAAAAACTGTTAAAATATCTTGTAATTATTTCATAATATCTTAGAGATATTTTTACGATAAATTATTATTCCAAACCTTCCTATACCGTCGCTATTTAAAACTAAAACGGCGTTTCATAATCACCTGCAGACCCTCAAATTGGTCGCATCACAAATATCCATGAAATTTGCACTTGCGACGCACCAAAAACTTTTAGGCAAAAGGCAATGAGGTCCGATTCGCCACGGCTAAATATAGAAAATGAATGGAGCAAAAAGAGACCCGTGATTTATAAGAAGACAAAAAGAAATATAAAAGAGCGCTTACTTGGTGGTGTTGTGAAGAGGATCGCTGATGTTCCTTCTCTGTTTTCTCTGCAAAAACGAAACGCAAATATCAGTATGCAAATTAACCCGTTTTCCACTCGCAGGCAAATATTGTAATGGACCATGTTTGGGGAAAATTTGTATGCGCGGCTTTAAGTAAATTAAATTTGCACGTTTTAATCAAATAAAATAAATTCGCCGAAAAAAAGCTTACATAATCAAACTGTTCGCGTTAATGGCTCCCATTACGGTTTCCTTTGAAAGTTCGCTACATCTTCTTCGCATTCAAAGTTAGACCAGCACCAGTCGTCCTGCTCGCGCGAGTGATTAAAGTACTTCTCAGGCCGCACATCTCATCTTCAATGTAGATTATCAAGGCACAATTTAACAAGTGACCTCTGGATTTTTGCAGTTAAAATTTCTTGGAAATCTAAAGGTTGGAATGCGCTTGCGCATCTCTCGATGTTCTCGAAATTTTCGCGACTCTTCTAGAAATCGGAAATCTTGTCGAAAAGGCAAAATATCGTAATCCTTTCGATCGTGAGTGCTTCTTTTGATTTTCCAAAAATCAATAAATCTGCTTGAAGCCTTCTTGAAATCTTACAGGAGTCTTCAAATCTTCAATATCTAAACAAAAATCGCTATTTTGGCACTGATTTTTTTGGGAAATAAACTTCACTTATTTTATTTTATTTTTGAAAATGGTTGATTTTGACCCCACTCTTGAATCCGGTCCCGTCCGTTTATTACCGTTCACATGGCCAACCATTACCGCTTTGATCCACACCGGATCCGCCATTTCATTTATTAACAAACATCTCGCTACTTTAGTTCCTGATACCTTTACCACCCAACCCGTAAACATCCATAGCGCTGATATTGCCACCACCACCATCCTGAAATCCCATTTCCAAATGCCCCAGGTCTTGGTTATGAAGTACTCCTTGGAATAGATTTTCATTCCCCTTTCTTTTCTTACAGCCGCCGAAAGCTCTCTTGCCAGAGAAGAAGAAGGCAAATTAATATTTTAGAATTTCATACATGATGACCCATTATTCGCAGGTTTTGTTTTCGATGGTAAATTTAAAGCGAACATTGGAACGGCAAGCTTTCGTAGCTACCAAGTGATATCGATTATCTCGCCGTTTGACCTGCGAATTCCAATTAAACAATGGGTGGTAATCTGGATACCGAATTGGGAGATTTCATTCCGACTAATTGGATAAGTATAATTAAGGATTGGCATTTAAATGAGTTACAGAAGAACCCGCCCAATTGACCTGAACAAGAAGCGCTCTTAAAATACTTAAAGTCTGACATCGGTCCCACACTTTTCCAATATCGTGGAAAAAAGTAATTCAATAAAAACAGTTTAGTTGAACGTATCGAAGGTATACGCGTAAGAAATGGGACTTCTAGTTACTCCCTACTTGAAATGGAGAAAACGCACTATGAATTTGGATCTTTTTGCTTTTGGCGTTTAACCGAATAGTAACTAAACCTTTTCGATTTTGCATTTTTGCCTATTTTGTCTTTTCCGCTGATTAGTGTTTTGTTCCTTTCATTTCCGCTAGGAACTTTGTCGTAATTTTGTTTTAGTTTTTCCGAAGTGAATGTCGCTATTTCCCTTACCCGTCCGCTTCCTGGCTGCCGTTTATCCGGTTGCGTTTACCCGAGACCGACCGTCCCATCAGCCGTTCCTTGCCGCCGTCTTTCACCCACAAGTGAGATTACCGCCGACTGCGGCTACTGTATTTGTTAATGAATATAATTTGTACATTTATTTATTTTTTTTAAATTGAACTGCAATTATAATTCCGCTAATATTTATTTAATTTCAAAAGCTCACCGATTGTGGGCGAACCCCAAGTTCGTCGCATAGAAACTGGCCAACAATGATGCAAAAGAAATTGAAATGGGATTTTCTTCTGCACATTTTTTAAATATATATTTTTTTAAATTCTTTCAACAAATAAATGCAATATATGCAAACATGAAGAAGTGAAAAAGAAAAAAAAATATGAAAAATTAAGATTTCGCACTTATCTGTTGTCGCGTTTGAACTGAAGTGAGATCACAATGCTCTTTATGTACCGGGTGACCCAATAAGACTGTTCCTCGGCCATATCTCGGCACTTAGGGACCAGAAAAATTATTGGATAAATCGGTTATCAAGAATCGCTGGAAAATATTTTCAAGTTCTAAAAATGACCAACAGAGGGCGCAACTGCCATCTTAAATTTTAAAATTACATTTTCTTTAAATTTCGCATAATAAAACTAAAATTTTTTTTTCACATTTTTAAAGAGAACCAGTTTATCATTTTCGTAAAAAAACTCACTTAATTCAAAAACAAAGATGGTGTGGGGCGTTCAATTGTTTTTGCAATAACCCGCTTTTTAACCGTTTGACCGATTTTAACAAATTTAGTGTCGTTGAAAAGAGCATTCCTTGGGCCATGAAAATCAACCATAATATAGTTAATTTAGTTGAATCCTTCTCCAAAATCGTAAAAAAACCAAAAAAATCAAATAGAATGATATGACTTTTTCTTTATGAAAAAGTGGCCAAATAACATCCAAAGAGGCCAGTGAAAACCGTTTTTCAAAATCTCGTTCCTAACCTCACATATTGGTAAAATGATTAAATAATAAATAAATAAATAAAATAAAAAATGAATAAAATAATTAATTTAATTAATTAAAATGCTTAAATTGTATCTTAATTAACTTTTTACGTATTTCCGGTATTTGTCGTTGGCGCGAAAAAAAATCACCCTACACTTTTAGGTAGGCCTTGGAAAGGAAAGCTGGCGATATATTTTGAGTATTTTCGAAATGCGACGATCGCCGCCCGCATCGTCTATTTGCGTTATCCGAATCGTCCACGAACCATCTCCGCCAGCATATTAAATGCTTCTTGGTTAGAAATCGGCATTTTAGAAAAGATTACAAATTCAAAAAACTGCACTTTCTGAATGTAAACACAGCAGAATAATTTACAAATTATGGTTGTTATTATTTTATAATGCATCCATGTTTCATTTGTTTAATTTTCTAAGGCCTACCTAAAAGTGCAGGGTCCTTTTCCAAACAATCTTTCGCGCCATCGACAAATACCGGAAATACGTCAAATAAGATACAATTTAAGCAGTTTTATTAATTAATTAATCTCATTTTCCCAATATTTGAGGTTAGGAACGAGATTTTGAAAAACGGTTCTCACTGGCCTCTTTGGGTGTTATTGGGCGACTTTTTCGTAACATATCAATCCATTTGATTTTTTTTATTTTTTTAGGATTTTGGATCATAGTGTCAAAACTAGCCCCCTGGCGGAGAAGGATTCAACTAAATTAACTATATTTTGGTTGATTCTTGTTGCCCAAGGAATGTTCTTTTCAACGATATCAAATTTGTTACAATCGCTCAAACGGTTAAGAAGTTAAAGCAGATTATTTCAAAAACAATTGAATGCCACACACCATCTTTGTTTTTGAAATAACTGAGTTTTTGTTTTTACGAAAATGATAGATATACTAGTTCTCTTTAAAAATGTGAAAGAATGTTTAGTTTATGCGAAATGTAAAAAAAAAATGCAATTTTAAAATTTAAGATGGCAGTTACGCCCTCTGGTGGTCATTTTTAGAACATGAAAATATTTTTCAGCGATTCTTCATAACCGATTTACCTAATAATTTTTGTTACCCCTAAGTCATACGACGAACGGTTCCCGAAATATGGCCGAGGAACAGTCCTATTGGGTCACCCGGTACGTCGTTAATAGCTAAATTTTGATTTAAAGGGCCATACAAACAAGATAAAAAATACATACACTCAAATTTTAACTAAAATTAAAAAATTTTAATAATTCCATTTACTTATTAGTTAAGAAAAGTTTAAAAAAATAAAAGCTTCATTTCGCGTTACTAGCCCATTTAAAGTGAATATTCCAAAAATTAAAAAAGGAAATCCAAATAAATTCCCTAATTTTTATTTTTTTAAATTTTAATGCTCTATTTTTAACAATTTTTGATTTGATCGTCTTTTTTATATTCGGTTGATGTTATACAAATATGACCCTTCAATTGTTTAAAAATTGGCACGTCGAGTGCACTTTATGATTTTTGCAATTTTGGAAAATGAAATGGACATACAATTTAATTATAAACAATGTATTTCAAAAACGCGACAAATGTGAATTTAATTTTTCATTTGTTTTTGATTCGAGGTTTTTCAATTATATTATATATTTTATAAATTAAAGATGAATATTTTAAAAATCAAGACGGAAATACAAAAATTTAAAAATCGTGAACACTATAGGATCTACATAAAAATTTAAAAAAAAACAGAAACTGTCAAGCCAAAATTATTAAACATAAGAGTAAACGAAAATTTAAACAAATTAAAAATTCGAATAAGTTCCAATAAAAATTAAACACTTTCATAACTCTCAAACTATTTTATTTTTCTTTATTTTTAAGTAGTCGAGGTTTCAATCAAGTCTACTCGCTCACTATACACTTACTAACATTCATGCCCCAATCCTGATTTGAACCCGCGACCCACTTAAAGTGAAACGAAAATTTCAAAAACGAAAAATTGAAAAATTATGGATTAAAATTTTGTGCAGGATCAAACCTAAGTGAAGATTTTTATTTTAAAAAATAACAGGGTCAGGCCGAGAATTATTAGATACAAACGAAAATAAATTTTAAAAAATAAAACAATCTAATAGACGAAGTTAAAAAAAAATTAAAAAACATGCATCAGGTGATTTTGCAAACCCCTCATTTACAAAAAATTAAAAAGTAATCTTTCAAAAATCAAAATATGCAAATATAATTTCATTAGGTATATGAAAAAATGAAGAAGTGAATAAGAAAAATAAAAAAAATATGTAAAATTAAGATTTCGCACTTATCTGTTGTCGCATTTGAACTAAAGTGAGATCACAATGCTCTTTATGTACCTACGCCGTTAATAACTAAATTTTGATTTAAAGGGCACGATAATAAAATACATAAATTCATTATACAGGGTGACAATTTGAAAACTTACCACCCCCCATATCTTAGTAAATAAACGAGATATTTAAAAAAATCAAAATCCGTTTCGGTAATTCGGAGGGGGAATCACAATATTCACAATGACATAGTTGGCGACGCACCCCCTCCAACCCCCTGCGCCCCAGCCACCCCAACTTTTAAATCTTAAATAGTGACCCCCCATGTGTGATACGTCGTTGGAAAGGTCTGAAAAAATGCTTTCCAACCATACCAAATAGCATTACAATTAGGTTAGTAATTATCGTGCAAATCAAAAAATAAACTAATATGATACATTTGAAATCTGTCGTATTTAAAACGCAACCGGCGAACATAGACGAACTAAGACAGAGAATAATTCAAGAATGCAATGAATATTGCAAAACCAACATTTGAAAAGGTTCGACAAGAGTTTAAGATTAGATTATAACTGGCGATCAAAAATGAGTTGCTGTCGAGTCGGCTTTGGAAGTTCAAGTTAAATACGATTTTCCATGTTTATTTTTTGATTTGCACGATAATTACTAACTTAAATGTAATGCTATTTGGTATGGTTGGAAAGCATTTTTTCAGAGCTTTCCAATGACGTATCACACATGGGGAGTCCCTATTTAAGATTTAAAAGTTGGGGTGGCTAGGGCGCAGGGGGTGTGAGGGGGTGCGTCGCCAACTATGTCATTGTGATTCCCCCTCCGAATTACCGACACGGATTTTGATTTTTTTAAATATCTCGTTTATTTACTAAGATATGGGGGGTGGTAAGTTTTCAAATTGTCACCCTGTATATATTCATAATATATATTCAATTCATAATATATATATATATATATATATATATTAAAAATATAAAAATTAAAAAATTTTAATAATTCCATTAGTTAATTAAGAAGTTTAAAAAAAGAATTCAAAAAATTTCAAAAATAAAAAAAGGAAATCCAAATAAATTCCCTAATTTTTATTTTTTTAATTTTAATGCTCTATTTTTAACAATTTTTGATTTGATTGCCTCTTTTTATATTTGGTTAAATATGTTATAGAAATATGACCCTTCAATTGTTTAAACATTGGCACGTTGAGAGCATTGTAATGTAATTTTGGAAAATGCAATGGACATACAATCTTTCAAAAATCAAAAATTGAAGTCCAAATGAAAATTTCTATAAAATCTAAATCTACATGGAAATTTTAATTTAAAAAAAAAAATAGTCAAACCAACGTTTTTTTCCTATTTTAATGTCTGTATTTTAGAAAAGGCGAAGCTGAGGGCGAAGCTTTTCACACACTATCAACGACACAAACGGGCGTTAAAAAAATAAAAATAAGAAAATGTATAAATAAGCGAAGTTCAATAAAGAATTAAAAACGAAATTTCTAATTGAAGATGAATAATTCAAAATCAAAAAGCGAAAAACTATGCTTTCTATAAAATATATAAATTTAAATACGAATTTTAAATTAAAAAAAATAGACAGTCAAACAAAAAATATAATAACAATTTAAAAAAAATTAAACAAAGAATTTGTACGTAAGCGTCTTACAATCACGTATGACTTCTGGACATCAAAATAAAGAGTTTCAAAGTAACCCAATAAAATCATGTTCACTTTTTGGGGCGTCAAAAAGATGCGGTTAGTCATTTTTGCAATGAAATCGGAATTTTGGCACGTCTTGGTCAAAATGCATGTGTTCATCGAAAATGCATCAAATTCACTTCTTGAACATTGAAAGAATGCGATTGAGCGTTTTCTCAACGAAATCGATGTACAAATCTTGTCGGCAGTTTTTTTGCTGAAAAGATCAAAGATGGAAGAATGTACACGAAGTTTTATTTTGTGGAATTATTATTTTGAAGTATTCTTCATTTCTCCATTAATATCAGGAAGTGTTTTTGAGCCACTTTCCCCTATCTCTCATTTCACCATTTGCACCAGTTAGAGTGTTAGGTATCTGTCCATGATATTTTGCTGTGCTGTCCATCTGTACATCAGTAACACGCGGTTTATGTGTTCTTCTTTTTCAAAAATTCCTTGGCGATTCTTATTTCTTTAACAAACAGTTGGCTGTTCATCTTGGATGACAGTTCCTTCTACATCTACAAGACTTCGTTGGTTTAGTCACATTTTAGTTAATTTTGGTAGACACCGCACCAATTCAGGATCAAAATGTCCAGTAGCGCCATCTGCCCTAACTTAATTAAAAAACGGCCGCAGCACTTCCAGGAAACAAACTACACGTCGATTATGTCAACTCTAATAAAAGTGGCGACCATAAATTATGCAAACAAATGACTCAGAAAGTTATAAAAGGAAATTACCAACATTTGCCCGCTTTATTTGCGTACAAAGGGCAGCGAAAATACAAAAACACACTCACCTTTTCGGACTGTTCCTTCACACTCTCCGATCTGTTTATGTTCGTCGCCGCTCTCTTTTTGTTTCCGGTGTACGCGGGAAGACTGACGGTGCTGAAATAAAAAAAATGAAAATTCAAAAAAACCGGCAGAACCGATCACTTTATAAGCAACTGAAAATGCATCTCCATTTTGGGCGCGTTCGTCATTTTGGCACGTAGTGCATGTGCAACTATCAAACTATTTATGCCAATAATAAAACGATGACCGAATGGACCGGAATAGATATATCATAATGTACCTTTCTTCGCGATAGCGCGCTATCTTTTGTAATATTTGCAACGACGTCGTTAGCGTTTGTGACGCAAAACCAACCTCAAACTCCGTTCGAAGTGCCACGAGCCGATCCTTTTCTTCTTGTCCTTCTTGGTACCGGTCGCGGTCTCCTTCGAGTGCCCGACGAGCGACTGCTTCCAAAGTGTGAAAAACATGGGATCGAACTCCATCAATGAGCCCGTTCTTATTTACTTTCGGGCCGCAGCATGATGTTTTCGCACTACTCTCGAATGGTGTGTCGATTACGAAATTCCACTACACTGTAGGTTCGCCCCGTTACCTACACACTTTATCGCCCTTATCGAAACCGCCGAACGATAAGGCCACTATCGATATTGTATGTGTATGTGTTATACTGTTGTGGTAGCCTACACGGCGGCGGGGCGCGCGAGGGGGTTTGATAGCAATTACCGAATGGGCGGCGGGCGACCTTGGGAATGGGGGCAGAAATTCGGACGCCGACTTCCACTTTGATTACGCTTAAGATGGGAAAACGGTCGAGCACGTAATTGAGAAAATCCGAATTGTTCATAGAGAAAATGGGTTTTCCGTGGAAGGGGTCGAACCTCTCTCACCTTTTACAGTAAACACGGAAACGGGGTAACTCCCTGGATCAAAAACGATACAGAGATAATCATGGGAAAAACCAAAGACTGTTGAGCAAGAACCAGAGAAGGCAATAATCAAATAATTTAATTGGGTCATAGCATACAGGGCGTTACCATTTGAGTTGTGCCAAAAAAATCGGATAATCGAGGAAACCTTCAGGTCCGTGCAGTTAGCAGAACATTGAAGGCACAAATGTCGAGACTAGGTAGGTTGGTTAGTGCTTCGTTTCTGCCGTAAAACGGAACCGTGTTGTGAGAGGGAGTTGGGTTTGCGCGATATTCAATGATTTTGTGTAGTAGGCCACATGGTTCCCTCAATAGCTTCAACCAAACCAAGCCGCTCCCGGCAATCAGGGGTAACATTCGAGTGGTTTCTGACCAGGTCCAGGCGTCCCTAGGTACAGCTGGGAGAAGGAATTCCGAGTACGGCCATGACCAGTTAAATGCGTGGGAAAGTTGGAAGCGCCAGAAAGTCGCGACTAACTAGAATTACGTGATAATTCCGCCGAGCCAGATCCGTTGGTTAATTAGGGCGTTAAGATACGTTTTTTTGGGTAATCAGTCAATTTTGGATTTCTCCGGATTTGATTGACTGAAAGATGTAACAGATTCGAATGCTCGAAGGGCGTAATTCTAAAAAAATTAAAAAAATTTATTTCTAAAAATATGTGCACCCAATTTGGTTCCAATCGGTTCAACCGTTTCGCCAGAAATAAGAGTACAGACGGACCGACATCATCGAGATTTTGTTTGATTCAGATTCCTGGTGCTTCAAAACGTGTATTTCCGTCAAAAAAGTGGAGGGTCATTTATTACCCCAATGCAGGTGGTGGAAAGTCGTTCGTGTGACAATACGCTTGAAGCCACGACAACGCTCGCGTCGTACCGTAAAAATTTGTGTGCCTAGGTTTATGCTGAAATCGTCTTCGGGGCGCTCGGCTAACAGCTCTACCTTAATGTGTAGTCGCCCAAGGGCACTTTTGACCGGTCACTAAAATAGATCTGTTATTGAGCTTTTGAATTAAATTTCAAAACCAAAGGCGACTTCGGCATAAGCCTAGGCAGAGTAAGTTTTATTCAAGAGCTAAATAACAGATCTATTTTCATGCATAAATGTGTCCCCAGTTTTGACTGCTTCCCAAACATTTCAAATTGTATATGTTTAAAATTTCAATAATCCCAAAATCTCAAGTTTTCATGATTCCTAAATTTTCAAAATTCTCAATGGTTCAAAAATGACAAAAACATTCTCAGATTCGCATGATCACAAAACTCCAAACGCCACAAAATCTCAAATGTCTTATCTCAAATTCCCAAAGATCCGAAACATCCCAAAAATTTAAAAATTTCTAACCCAAAAATTTTGATAAACCCAAAAATTTCAATTGTATACTATCTGATTCCCAAAATCTCAAATTCCTAAAACTACACAAAAATCCGCAATGTGAATATCACAGTTTAAATTAAGTAATAAGTATTTTAAATTTTTCCAAATTCCCATAAACTCAAATTCTAAAAGTTTTAAAAATTCCACAATTTCAATTTCCCAAAATTTCGAAAATCCCAAATTTCCATAATCTCTAAATTCACAAATAATTGCATTCCGAATTCTCAAAAAAATTTCCCTAACCTCAAATTCTAAGTTTTAAAAACTCCATAATCTCTCCTTCCCAATATTTCAAAATTCCAAGATCACTAATTTCCATAATTTCTAAACCAACAAAGTATCGTCTTTCGCAAAATTTCCAATTCTCAAAATCTCACAATTTGAAATTTTCTCTAATACAAATGCTAAGAATATAAAAATCTCAAATTTACAAAATCACAAATTCCTAAATTTAAAAATCAAATATGAAATGTTTATAATCTCAATTTCAAAAGTTCAACAATTCCAAAATCTTAAGAATTATAAAATTTGAAACTTCCAAATCTTGACAATTTCAAATTCACAAAATTTAAAAAATATCAAAATTTTGAATTTCCAGAATCATAAGATTTACAAAAGTTCAATATGTCAAAATTTCTATCCCCAAAAATTAGATAAGTTTAAAACCTCAAATTTTCATAACCTCATATTTCTAAATTTTCAAAATCCCTAAATCCTCTCTGGTTTAATATCCCAAAATCTCAAATTTCTACGATCTCAGAATCTCAAAATTCCAAACTCTGAACATTTCCAAACTTCTAAAATCACCATAATCACAAATTCTCAAAATGTAGAAAATTTTAGAATTGTATCTCTCAAAATTAAAAAAACCAAAATTTCAAATTTCATAATAATTAAAGCCGTAAAATTTCAAATCAAAATTTCAAAAATCACAATTCACAAAGGTGGAAAAATTCCAAAATTTCAAAATTCCAAGATCCCAAATTTCCATAATTTCTAAACCAACAAAATATCTCATTTCGCAAAATTTCCAGTACTCAAAATCTCAGAATTTAAAATTTTCTCTAATACAAATTCTAAAAATTCAAAAATCTCAAATTTAAATTCCAAAATTTGAAGATTTATAAAATTTGAAAACTTTCAAAATCTCAAATATCCATATTCTGATTTCGTACATCTCAAATTTAAAAACTTCCAAATCTTGACAATTACAAATTCACAAAATTTAAAAAATATCAAAATTTCGAATTTCCAGAATCTTAAAATTACAAAAGTTCAAAATGTCAAAATTTCTATCGAAAAATTAAATAATTTCAAAACCTCAAATTTTCATAACCTTATAGTTCTAAAATTTCAAAATACCTAAATCCTCACTGGTTTAATATCCCAAAATCTCAAATTTCCACGATCTCAGATTCTCAAAATTCCAAATTCTAAACATTTCCAAACTTCTAAAATCACCATAATCACAAATTCTCAAAATTTTAGAATCTTACTTTCAAAATTAAAAAACCAAAATCTCAAATTTCATAATAATTAAACCCGGAAAATATCAAATCAACAAAATTTCAAAAATCACAATTTCACAAAGGTGGAAAAATTCCAAAATTTCAAAATTCCAAGATCACAAATTTCCATAATTTCTAAACCAACAAAATGTCTCATTTCGCAAAATTTCCAATTCTCAAAATCTCAGAATTTAAAATTTTCTCTAATAATTCTAAAAATATAAAAATCTCAAATCTAAATTCCAAAATCTGAAGATTTATAAAATTTGAAAACTTACAAAATCTCAAAGAGCCATATTCTCATTTCGTACATCTCAAATTTGAAAACTTCCACATCTTGACAATTTCAAATTCACAAAATTAAAAAAATATCAAAATGTCTATCCCCAAAAAATTAAATAATTTCAAAACCTCAAATTTTCTAACCTCATATTTCTAAATTTTCAAAATCCCTAAATCCTCACTGATTTAATATCCCAAAATCTCAAATTTTCACGATATCAGATTCTCAAAATTCCAAATTCTGAACATTTCCAAACTTCTAAAATCGTAATCACAAATTCTCAATACCTATGTAGAAAATTTTAGAATCTTACTCTCAAAATTAAAAAACCAACATCTCAAATTTCATAATTAAACCCGATATCAAATCAACAAAATTGAAAAATCACAATTTCACAAAGGTGGCAAAATTTTAAAATTTTAGAATCTCAAAATCATGTCTCCAAATTTTTAAAAAATCCAAGGTGCAGTAACTTTCATCAAATAATTTTAAAAATACTTCAGAAAATGTTTGAAACGTGCTTCGAAAACATTGGAATTTTGGAAATGTGCCTGAAATTTTGAAAATCTCAAATTAACAAAACCCCAAAATAAAATTTCAAATCTTTATAATCTCAATTTCACAAGATTTCAACAATTTCAAAATTTCATATTTCCAGAATTTTAGATTTATAAGACATCAAAAATCTCAAATGTCCATACTCTCCATACAGTTCCAAGTTTCAAAAACTTCAAAAATATGCTGCAAGGGATGAGTCTAAATCATAAAAGTAAAGCAGCGAGAAGGTGGTTGTTTTGGAAGAACTGTCAATTCGCGTTGGAGTGGTAGGCGACGTTAAGTCAATCACCTCTAAATACTGCAGGGTGGTTTTATATATAGGTGGCTCTTCATTATTAAGGCGGCGCTTAATAATGAAGAGCGAAATCTCGTGTTCATAAGGTAGCGATGTTAAGTACGTGTAAAACAAATGCGAGCGACCTTCAATTTTACTTGCGAATTAGAAACTATTACGATAAATCCGAACACTAGTGGAAGTTTTAACTTTATGAATATTTTAAAATTCGAATCATTGTCTTCATTTGCGATTATGTGAGCTAAATGGGAGGTGAGAATATTCTAATTTTTTTCAAGCATAGAGAAGGTGGTTAGTGCGACATCAACGAAAAAGTTTTAAAAAAATCCGATCCGATTGAACTCAATTGTGAATCTAAACCATTTGGGGACATACATACATCAAAGTCCGTTTAGGCCGTCAAAAGATACTAACCTGTCTGGATGGGCGAGATCGGTCTCGTGCTGATCGACGTTCTCCTGACTTTCTTGCGTTCGCGACGCTTCCTCCCTGACGGCGTCGGGACGCCGATCCGACCCCGTCCTCGAAACGGGATGGCCGGGTTTAGTCTCTCCTACAACAAAAAACACAGGTATTTAAATACAAATCGGTTAACATAAAACGATCGAGTGATTAATGGGATTGGCTCGGTTACAACCTGTAACCGTCTAGACGACGTAATTAAGGATCGCTCCAAAAAAAGTGTGACAAAATCAAAATATTATTTTTGTCGACGTCGGCGTCGGCCTTGAACTTGCACGGCAACTAAAACATTGTTATCGCGCGATTCGGGGGGCAAAAACGTTGATCTTATCTCGCCGCATATTTCTCGTTTTACAAAAATAGTTAGCCGAGTTATCTTATCGCGACGACCTACTTCAATGCTCTCCATTCTGGAATCATCTGCGCGTCTATTTCAATACGTGAGATTACTTTTCCAAGAAGTGCCGGAAAAGCTGTTCTCAATCTCATTTCGTTAGTACATTTGAAGCAGCATGAACGGTATCTAATGACCCGGATATTCCTCGGGATCTTTGATACTGTAAGAAAGCTCTTAGTCTTAGACGCTCTTAAGGACTCATAAAAGCTCCGTGAGCATTTTAAGATCCTTCGAGGTTCGGCTTTCAAACAATCCGGGCTTTAAAGCCCTTGAAAGTAAAACCTCTACATTATAGACGGTGCTAAAAAACTCTTGAAAGTACTCACAAGTGCGCTGCACAAGGATTCAGGGAGGTGTGAAGTAAAAAAAGTAGCATTGTAGAATTTTCCAGAATTTTCTAGAACTGTTTTGCAATTTTGTAATTTTTTTTAGAATTTTCTAGAAATTTTTTAAGAACTTTTCTCGAATTTTTTGTAATTTCTTTTACAATTTTAATGTACACAAAATTTAAAGTACTTTACCCTTACTCCGAGGAGAAAATCACTGTAGAATTTTGGTGTACACTACTCGGTATTTTGTAGATTTTTTTAGAATTTTCTACAAATTGTTTAAAATCTTGAAATTCCTTTTAGAATTTGCGTACACAAAATTTGAAGTAATTTACCCCGAGGGCAAAATCACTGTAGAATGTTGGTGTACACTACTAGCATTGTGTAGAATTTTCCAGAATTTTTTAGAATTTTTTTGCAATTTTGTAGATTTTTTTTAGAATATTCTAGAAATTTTTTAAGAACTTTCCCGAATTTTTTTAATTTTCTTTTAGAATTTTAGTGTACACAAAATTTAAAGTGCTTTGCCCTTACTCCGAGGAGAAAATCTCTGTAGAATTTTGGTGTACACTTCTCGAATTTTCTAGAATTGTTTTTAATTTCTTTTAGAATTTGTGTACACAAAATTTGAAGTGATTTACCCCGAGGGAAAAATCACTGTAGAATTTTGGTGTACACTACTCGGTATTTTGTAGAATTTTCCAGATTTTTTCTATAATTTTCTAAAGCTTTTTTACAATGTTGTAGATTTTTTTAGAATTTTCCACAAATTGTTTAAAAAACTTCTCGAATTTTCTAGAATTTTTTTCAATTCCTTTTTGAATTTGTTTACACAAAATTTGAAGTGATTTACCCCAAAGGCGAAATCACTGTAGAATTTTGGTGTACGCTACTCGGTATTTTGTAGATTTTTTTTAGAATCTTCCACAAATTGTTTAAAAAACTTCTCAAATTTTCTAGAATTTTTTTTAATTCCTTTTAGAATTTGTGTACTTACCCCGAGGGTAAAATCACTGTAGAATTTTGGTGTACACTACTCGGTATTTTGTAGAATTTTCTAGAACTTACTTTACAATTTTGTAGACTTTTTTTTAGAATTTTCTACAAATTGTTTAAAAACTTTTCTCGGGTTTTCTAGAATTTGTATAAATTCCTTTTAGAATGCGTGTACACAAAATTCACTGTAGAATCTTGGTGTACACTACTAGGATTGTTTAAAATTTTCCAGAATTTTCTAGAACTATTTTACAATTTTGTATATTTTTTTTAGAATTTTCTAGAAATTTTTTAAGAACTTTTCCCGAATTTTTTTAATTTTCTTTTAGAATTTTAGTGTGCACAAAATTTAAGGTGCTTTCCCCTTACCCCGAGGAGAAAATCACTGTAGAATTTTGGTGTACACTACTCGGTATTTTGTAGAATTTTCCAGAATTTTTCTATAACTTTCTAAAGCTTTTTTACAATTTTGTAATTTTTTTAGAATTTTCCACAAATTGTTTAAAAAACTTCACGAATTTTCTAGAATTTTTTTTCAATTCCTTTTAGAATTTGTTTACACAAAATTTGAAGTGATTTACCCCAAAGGCGAAATCACTGTAGAATTTTGGTGTACGCTACTCGGTATTTTGTAGAATTTTCCAGAATTTTTCTAGAATTTTCTAGAACTTTTCTACGATTTTGTAGATTTTTTTTTAAAATCTACAAATTGTTTAAAAAACATCAAATTTTCTAGAATTTTTTTAATTCCTTTTAGAATTTGTGTACACAAAATTTGAAGTGATTTACCCCGAGGGCAAAATCACTGTAGAATTTTGGTGTACACTACTTGGTATTTTGTAGAATTTTTCTAGAATTTTCTAGAACATTTTTACAATTTTGTAGATTTTTTTTAGAATTTTCCACAAATTATTTAAAAACTTTTCTCGAATTTTCTAGAATTTGTTTAAATTCCTTTTAGAATTTGTGTACAACATTTGAAGTGATTTACCCCGAGGGCAAAAACACTGTAGAATTTTGCTGTACACTACTCGGTATTTTGTAGAATTTTCCAGAATTCTTCTAGAATTTTCTAGAACTTGCTTAACAATTTTGTTGATTTTTTTTAGAATTTTCTACAAATTGTTTAAAAACTTTTCTCGGATTTTCTAGAATTTGAATAAAGTCCTTTTAGAATGTGTGTACACAAAATTTGAAGTGATTTACCCCGAGAGCAAATTCACTGTAGAATCTTGGTGTATACTACTAGGATTGTTTTCCAGAATATTCTAGAACTTCTTTACAATTTTGTATATTTTTTTAGAATTTTCTAGAAATTTTTTAAGAACTTTTCCGGAATTTTTTTAATTTTCTTTTAGAATTTTAGTGTGCACATAATTTAAGGTGCTTTGCCCTTACCCCGAGGAGAAAATCACTGTAGAATTTTGGTGTACACTACTCGGTATTTTGTAGAGTTTTCCAGAATTTTTCTAGAATTTTCTAGAACTTACAATTTTGTAGATTTTTTTAGAATCTTCTACAAATTGTTTAAAAACTTTTAAACTTGAGAATTTGTATACACAACATTTGAAGTGATTTACCCAGAGGGCAAAATCACTGTAGAATGTTGGTATACACTACTAGCATTTTGTAGAATTTTCTAGAATTTTTTTTAGAATTTTTCGAGGAATTTTTTTGGAATTTTTCGTGAATTTTCTAGAATTTTTTAAAAATTTTCCACATGCACGCGCAATTATGATTTGACACAATTTTTAGAATTTCCTAGCAGATTTGGGCAATCATCATGCGCTTATTTGAATTAGAATCATTTCGGTGCCGATTGTGCGCAGAAAGAATTCAAGTTTTGTGTGTATTGTAATCTGGACCAATTCGGATTGTGATTCTCATCATGCACAATATTTTGGTGCAGATTCTTACTCTGACCGTGAATCTACTTCCATTTGTGATTGTAACCTTGCATTTTTTGCCTCAGCGCTGACCTTGATCCGAACTTAATGCAAATCATGATTTCGATTCTGATTTTAGATCTGATCGTATTATGACTGTGATTCCGATTACAATATTCTGATCTAGATTTGTTGATTCTTCTCTCAATTCTAATTCTCATGATGCTCTGATTGTTTCCGATTCTGAATCATATTTTGATTTTGATCGAGACGCAGACGGGCCTAATTTTTGTTTTGGATGTTTGCGTGATTTTGACCTGGTACGTACTTTGATTTTGGTTTGTGATCGTGATTCTGTTATGATCGTGATGCTGATTCAGAATTTGACTTTTCGAGCTGTGACCCTGGTCTCGATCCAAGCCATGATTTTGATGCTAGTTTTAATTCTAATCCGGACGATTCAGATTTGAGATTCTGAACATGACTGAATCTAACTCGGACTCGCATACGATCCTGCATAAGATTATGATTAAGTTTCTGGTGCCTATTTAATCGTAATTCTGGTCTTGATTGTGCTGTTCTGAGTCCGGCTTGTCTCTGATTATGGCTATGATTCTGAATCACAATAGGAGTTTTCCAAGCAAACTTCGGAACAAAACCCTTGATCATAATGTAGATCTCTTTTGATTCTGATTCTGTTAGTATTAATTTTGATACAAATCTTGATTGTAATTCTGATTCTTTATCGGATTGGGATTGTGACTCAATCATAATTCTTGCTGCTTATGTTTACCAAAATTCTCACTCTGGCTATGAAGTGATTCTGATGTTTGTTTGTGCTGACGCTCACTAGGTACCTGAGTTATAGTCGAATCATTCTCAACAAAATCATAATCAGAACTTTCGTCAGGGAACCTGATCAAATCCTAGGCAGAATCACAGTAGCAACAAAAGTCAGACCAAGGGCCAGAATCCATTATCAGGAACTGAATCAGAATCAGAACAGTAGTCGGAGTAGGATTGAATTAAGAATCTCAGAGTGAATCAACATTAGGTCTAACCGAGGGTCTAACGTCCCTTGTCAGAATCATAATCTCAGAATCACGATCAAAATCCAACTTCAAATTCAGGAACAGAATTAGGGAGAGTCATAGCATTACAATAAGAATCAGGTTCGACATAATATTCGGAACCAAAACCAGAATCACTAGAGCATTTTATTGCTCTAGGGATTCAACTCCACAATCAAATATACATCTAGAATCATAAACACATTCATAAATAATTCCAATTGGAATGTGATCCAAAGTCATCTTCAGTGTGAGAACCAAATATATAATTCGGATTAGAACCTAAATCATAATCGAATCGAAATCCATTCATTTCGATGAGACCTTCCATTAGAATCATTAAAATAGAGCCTGTAGTCACGCCCATACCTATGAATGCTATGTTTTTTTTTTGCTAGAAATATAAATAAGAAAAATGGGATTACGCAGTATGCGCATGGGAACGTCTGATTTTAACAATACGCGATATGCTTGCCTTTACTAAAAAGTTAAAGGCGATGTTAAAGGCAACCATATCTCATATTGTAAACATTAGATGAGCGCATGCATGCCAACAGTTTTATAAACAAAAACTCGGAACTTTCCGTAGGTATGCGCGCCAGTTATGCGCTGCTAAAGTTAATATGCTGTCGAAAACACATCCCGACTAAATTCAATATCCGAAAGAATGAAACTTTTTTCATTAGTCATTTTGCACATCGGAAAATAATCTCCGAAACGCGATATAAAAAATATGAATCTGTTATACGCCACTGGTGTAGGTATAGAAGAATCAATATTTTTCACAAATGCATACAGAGGAGTAAATCACTGTAAAATTATGGCGTACATTTTGTAGAATTTTCTAGATTTTTTTAGAATTTTAGTGCACACAAAATTTGAAGTGGTCTGTCCCGAGGGGAAACTCAGTGTACAACTTTTTTTGTACAATTTTCTAGAATTCTTCTAATTTTTTTGAAATTTTTGGAAATTTTTTTAGAACTTTTCTTGAATTTTCTAGAATTATTTAAAATTCCTTTTACAGTTTTAGTGTACACAAAATTTGAGGTAGGTTGTTTACCTCGAGGAGTAATCACTGTAGAATTTTGGTCTACACTATTTGCATCTTGAATTATCTAGGATTTTTCTAGATTTTCTTGAAATTTTAGAATTTTTGTAGAACTTCCAAAAAATTTTTAGAACTTTACTTGAATTTTTCTGAACGCATATGCACACACAATTTTGTACAATTTTAGACTTTTCTAGATTTTTGAAATTTTTTAATTTTTTTAGAACTTTCTAGAATTTTGTTAGAACTTTTCTAGAATTTTTTCCGAACACATATACACCCACAATTTTAAACAATTTTAGAATTTTCTAGAATTGTTTAGAATTCCAGTTAGAATTTTTAGTGTAAACAAAATTTGAAAGGTTTGCTAGTTTTTTGAAATATTTTTTAATTTTCAAGAATTTTTTAAGATCTTTGAATTTTCAAGAATATTATCGAATTTTTTCGATTTTCGAAACGCACATGCACACAAAAATATGATTTTATAAAACTTTCTAGAATGTTCTTAGAAATAAAATTTTGCGTCTCGGACTATGCGCCCCGGACATTGAAATGTCCACCCTAATGAAAAAGATCGTCATCAGGCCTGAAGGGGGTGTGGGTTTTTTTTTTAATTCTAGACAGATTCCGAATGTGATTTTCATCCATTTTGAAGCAGATTCTTATTCTAACAGTGTATCTCCTTCCAATTGTGATTGTAGCCTTGTGATTCGACCTTGGTTCGATTTGATGCAAATACGATTTTTATTCCGGTTTTAGATCTGATCGAATTATGAATTTGGTTCCGATTGTAATTATGATCTAGATTTGTTGATTCTTCTCTCGATTCTAATTCTCATGATGCTCTGGCCGTTTCTGAGTATGTTCCCGAATCATATTTTGATCGGGACTGGCCTCTTTTTTTGTTTTGGAAGATTTTGTGATTTTGACCTTGGTCCGTACTTTGATATGTGATCGTGATTCTGACCCTGTTACGATTGTGATGCTAATCCAGAATTTTTCGTCTTATCCCAGAACTTAATCCTTATTGATTCGATCTCTTACTCTAGTCTCGATCCAGACCATGATTTCGAAGCTAGTCTTGATTCTAATCCGAAACTGAACTTTGATTGTCATTCAAAATTAGATTCTGAATCTAACTCAGATTCCAACTCTCGATAAGATGATGATTGTGATTATGTTTCTGATTGCAATAGTGCCCGATAGCTATTGCGTTTTTAATCTCACTTAGATCGTGATTCTGATCCCTATTTGAATCGTAATTCCGCTCTTGATTGGGGTGTTCTGCCCCAGCTGTCTCTGATTATGGCTATTATGATTCTGATTGTCATCCCGATTCACAATTTGACTTTTTCCTAATTCTAACCTTGTTTCGAATCCTATCCTTGATTTTAATGTCGATATCCTGTTTTGATTCTGATTCTGTTAGTATTCATTATGATTCTGATTCTTAAGATGACATTTGGTCATTAATTTACAACCTGGACTTGCAAACCTTGCTCTTAATTCCGATTTTTTATTTGATTGACCATGATTCCATCATAATTCTTATCCTGATGCTTCTTCTCACTCTGGCGTTACCTATGACTATGATAGTGATTCTGATGTTTGTGTTGACTCTGACTAACTACCTGAGTCAAATGAGGATCATTCTCAACAGAACTTTCGTCAGAGCAAAGTTAAATCCTGGTCAGAATCAGAATAATAACAAAATTCGGGTCAAGAACCAGAATCATTATCAGGAACTGAATCACAACCAGAACCATAGTCGGGGTAAGATTGAAGATTAAATATTCTTGCCAGAACATTATCTCAGAGTCATAATCAAAATATGATGCAAATTCGGAATCAGGAACAGAATTAGGAACAGCCATAACATGCGTCATCATAAAATAAGAATCATAATCAAAACTGGCTTAAAAATCAACTCTAAGATCAACGTTAGTGTTGAGTTCAGGACCAAGGCTCCGGTAAAAGTCAGATTTAGGGCCATGGTCACAAGTACAATCCTGAATTGAGATTGTGCTCCTTACTATAGATTTATGATTCTGATTGTGATTGTGATACGGATTCAAACTTTTCCCCAATTCTAACCTTGGTTCGGACTTTCTTTGACCCTAAGCTTAATCCTGGCATTGATCTGAATGTAGATCTTCTGTTTTGATTCTGAATCTGTCAGTATCAATTTTACTCGATTTTAATCTAATTCTTGAGAACATTTGGCCCTACAACCTGAACTTGTTTTTGGTGCAAATCCTGATTGTAATTCTGATTTTGTATCTGATTGGGATTCTGACTCAAATCAGGATCAACAACAGAACCATAATCAGGACTTGAGTCAAATTTTGATCAGAATCAAATAAAAAAAACAGATCAGGGACCAGAATCATTATCAGGAACTGAATCACAATCGGAACCATAATCGGGGTAAGATCGAAATAAAATCTCAGATCACAGAGAATCAAAATTAAATCCAATGCCCTTGTTGGAATCATAATCTCAGAATCACGATCAAAATATGAACCAAATTCGGATTCAGAAACAGTCAAAAGTATGTCAGGAATAAGTTCTCTGGTAAGTCAGAATTAGGGCTATTGTCAAACATAGAATTCTGAAATGTGGGGGGGAGGGGGGGATATAAAAAATGTGAAGAAGTGGTATGCGAGAGACATGTAAAGCGTTTATAAGCGAGAGTGAAGGAGACGTGATGTCTACGACCACTTTGGGTCCCTTGAAGACGATCTTGAAGAAGTGACAAAGAGGCCTAGAGAAATGTAATGTGATCAGAAGGATGCACAAATAAGACTAAAGGCGCAAAGAAGGCGTAGTAAAAATGAGGGCATCAGTTTCCATTAAAAACATTGCGACGTATCCGTCACTGCTTCGGCACGAACAAGGGTGCCGACATGATACGGCTTTGAAGGACCAAGAATTTGTCCGGCAGAAATTAACACGATACCTACGTCAATTCATCAAAACATTTGCAATAATTACAGTAATTAAGATCGTAAATAAACAAACAAACGATACGAGTTTCGAAAGTAAACATCATCGACAAACATAATTCGCCATCAATCCATTTAAAGCGATGATAACAAATCCTAACCTCGAACTAAAGTAAATATTGATCTCTGACGATCGCTTACATTAACATTAATTAGTTTACCTGCGTCCTGGCCGTCCGTTTCGTCGTCGGCGGCGACGAGCGTCGTCGTGCTACCATTAAATCCGATAAAGTCGAACTCGTTGCGTACAATTTTGCAATTTCGCTTCGCCTGCTCGAGGAGCTTGTTGCGTCGCGTCCTGAGCAGGTTCAGATTGATCGCGCTGCTCGATTTCGACTTGGCGAGTACGGGCTTCTCGGGCGAGTCGCAAAGGTCCGATATGCCCAGGTTCGAGGAGGCCGTCCTTAGTCCGAACGTTTTCGGTCGGATGCGTTCCAGATTGGAAGTCTGTCGTATTAGGCGGAAGTCGAATTGCGAGACGGACTTGCGCAATTCGGGCACGGGGGACGGTTCGGGCTGTTGGACGGTCGTCGGGGGTGGTTTTTTCTTTTTGCTCTTCTTGGTCGTCTTGGTGTCCTCGGCGATGTTCGGCATGGTCGGTAAGCCGTTGGTGGTGTTGTCGCTCTTCGTCTTGTAAATCTTGGACTTGACCCGTTTGAGATAGGAGTCGTTCTGGGGTTCGACTTTTTTGCTAACGACCGGTGCGGCCTTTTTGCCTTTGTCGTTTTTTGTCACCTTTTTCGATTTCTTTTCCATGTCGGCCGATGATGCGCTTTCTTGGGCTGGGGGTTTCTTGCGTAAATTTACACCTGGGAATTCCTCGGGGGGTTTCATTTTAATCGCGGTTTTGATGTTCTCGCAGCTGATCGACGGTTTAAGGGCACCATAGCGGAAAATGTCACTGAAACGTCTACTTTTACGCTCGGATTTGTCCTCGAAAAACTCACTTTGCGCGAGGTGGTTTAAAGACTGTCTACTTTCCGCACTGAAATTCTCACTGGTTTTGCTTCTAATCACGAAACTGTCACTGTAACGTTTGGTGTTGTTGTTTAGGGAGGCGTCATCGTTGTTTTCCAGCCAGACATCTGCCGAGAGCAATTCGGCACGGAAATCGGCATCACCGCCGTGCCTTAATTGAATGTCGTCATCTCCATTACACGGTGGATCGGCAGTACTAATTTTGTTGTGGTCCGGCTTCAGGTTCTCGATGAGGTCGGGTTGGTTCTTCCGATTCGGCCCACTTTTCTGACTGCCCGTGCTGTTTTTGCGCGTGCGATTGTGGGGTTTCTTCAAGGTTTGGGTGTTCGCCGATAAATTACTCTCGACCGACTGCGCGTTTGAACTTTTCGATTTGGAGTTTTTCCGCTTCCGGTGGGTAATCTTACTTTTCAGTGATGTCATGTTTTTGTTGCTCGTTTCCGTTTGCGTTGACCACATTATTATCACTAAATACAGTCACTATAATATACTAGGGAATTTCTTAGTAATTAAGAAACGTTCTGTACGCGCCTTGTCTTAAGTAATCTACTTAATTATCTCCGAAGTGCAGCAGCTGAAAGTTAATTTGAGATAGAAGGCTATCGGTCTCGGTCTCTCAGAGAGCGTGCGGTTCATTGTTTAACCTCCTCTTTTTCTGTGTAGGTGAATCATACATGCCTTTACGACGGGAGCCGATCATTTAAATTCCAATTTAGACATGCTGGCTACGTTGGAATTTATTTCGAATTTGTCGTACAATAAAACTGATCAAACGAACGAGATAATTAACGCGAGCGGAGCGATAAAACCGGCCCAATTATTATAAGTCTATTACGAAACAAACGATTAATTATACAGTTATGTAAACGAGCGCCCTGTATACATTAAAATATCGAACACGGAAATGTGGTATATATATACAGAGTGACTCACGATTAAAGAATACAGTGCTCAACATATATTCTATTATAGACGACACCCCTCCTCCTTTTGCATAGGCAACACACCCTACCCTAAAAAGTCCGCAATTTTCGCGTCATCGCTGCGTTGTCTTCTTCAACTAACAAGCACTTCAACCAAAATTATTACTGCCCTACATACACAATTCCATGCTAGTGCAGTCCGTCCGTTTGTACAGGGTGATCCAAATTGGACAATTTCGTATGGGAACACCTTTATTTTAAGAGAAAACTACCGTGTAGTCAAATTGCCGAAGACGCCCGAACGTCCAGTCGCGCAGTTTAGTAGGAATATTTAAATGGCCGCTGTGGCAGCCATGATATACACTGTGTCTATCATGGGGATCCCTGAAACCATAGATAGAAAATGCGACGATGGTCAATTCAGAAAAAAGATGCGCAATGAAAGAGTTATTATCTCGGTTATTATCATGCTTTAAAGAAAACCGGAAAATTGCGATTACTTCTCGAAATGTGCCGATATCGTTTTTATTTTTACTGTTATTTGACAGACACAACAAAACACTTTCCCATTGCCACATTTTGAGCTCTATAAGACACCAGTGAGAGATTTTCAATACAACGTTTCGTTTCGGAGAAATCATCATCAACTTTACTTTTTTATATGGTCCGTAAAAAAAGTACATACTGTATTGAGTAGCATTTTTTATTACGAATACAACGATGCACGGCACACAAAAAAAACATAAGCTAGAAACTCTTGGATACAACAGGATGGTGCACTCACGCATAACGGCATAATAGTGTGAGAATACCTATCGAGCAATTTCCGGGAAAATGGAAAATATATCCGATAGGTATTCTCGCACAATTAGGACGATGTGAGCGGATGCACCATCTTGTTGAAACCAACAGTTTCCAACTTTTAGTTTTTCCTCGTGCGCAATACATTGTTTTATTCGTAATAAAAATGGTACTCAACACACTATGCACTTTTTTTATGGACCATATAAAAAATAAAGTTGATGATGATATCTCCGAAACGAAACGTTTTATTGAAAATCTCTTAACGCTGTCTTGTAGAGCTCAAAAAGGGGCAATGAGAAAGTGCTTATTATTTTACTGTATCTGTTCAAATTTTTTGCCGGCTCGTGTGGTGGAGTTCAGTTGATGCTGGACTGCGGTACTAAGGGTCCCTGGCTCAAATCCGGGTTCGGGCATGGATATTTGTAAATGTATAGTGGGTTGAGTCCCACTCAAAAATAAAAGTAAAAATAAAATAAATAAAAATAACATCAGAAAAAAATAAAAACGAAATCGGCAAAGTTCGGTTTTTCTGTCATATCTTCGGAAGTCATCGGAATTTTCCGGTTTTTTAAAAGCATGATAATAACTTTAATTCTTTTCTCTAATTTGACGATCGTCGTATCTTCTAGGGTGTCGGAGATCCCCATGCTAGACATCCTTATCTTGGACACAGTGTATAGCTCGACCGTCCCAGGGGATGAAATCCGCCCTAATGAATGCCAATTTTTTGGGTGGTACATAATATCAATCTTAACGTTTTGACAAGTATGAGAATTTGAAACCTTTTTTTGCGTGAGGGTGAAACGAATTTTTTGGTACGATAGGGGAGGATTTCACCCCCTCGGACGGTTTTTTGGGTGGTACAAAATATGAATCTTAACGATTTGACAAGCATGCGAATTTGAAACCTTTTTTTTGTGTGGGGATGTTAAAACGACTTTTTATACCGGGTGACCCAATAAGACTGTTCCTCGGCCACCAGAGGGCTTAACCGCCATCTTAAATTTTAAAATTGCATTTTCTTTAAATTTCCCATAATAACAAATATTCTTTTTTCACATTTTTAAAGAGAACCAGTTTATCTATCATTTTCGTAAAAACAAAAACTCAGTTATTTCCGAGGTTATTTCAAAAACAAAGATGGTGTGGGGTGTTTAATTGTTTTTGCAAAAACCTGCTTTAACTTCTTAACCGTTTAACCGATTGTAACAAATTTGGTATCGTTGAAAAGAGCATTCCTTGGGCAATAAGGGTCAACCTCGGAGTCAACCAACCAAAAAACTACACTTTCTGAATGTAAACACAGCAGAATAATTTACAAATTACGGCTGTTATGATTTTATAATGCATCGTGTTTCATTTGTTTAATTTTCCAAGGCCTACCTAAAAGTGTAGGGTGCTTTTCTTTCGCGCCATCGACAAATACCGGAAATACGTCAAAAGTAAATTTAAGATATAATTTAAGCATTTTAAATTAATTAATCTCGGATTAATATCGGATTTATGGCTCAGTGGTAGAGCATTGGGTTATAAATCCGGAGGTCGGGTGTTCGAACCTGGGTTGAGGTGAATTTTTCATCTGTAGCGGAGTAGGAAATTACCTTAGACCAGTTCCGAGCATTCTACCGGCTACTCCGAATTAGGTTTTCCTGCAGTTTTCCTAATTCGTAAGGTAAATACCGGAGGAGTATAGACCATCTTAAGACCTTCTGCAGAGGCACCTCTAAATAGCATTATGCGGGTCACTCTGTAATTGGGCGCATGCCTGTTGAGCGCCAAAAACGAGAGGGATAAAATAATATTAAATTAAAATTAAATCTTATTTTCTCAATATTTGAGGTTAGGAACGAGAATTTGAAAAACGATTTTCACTGCCCTCTTTGGATGTTATTTAGCTACTTTTTCATAAAAAAAGTCATATCATTCCCAGTATCATTCCATTTGATTTTTTTAGGATTTTGGGGCATAGTGTCAAAACTAGCCCCTTGGCGGAAAAGGATTCAACTAAATTAACTATATGGTTGATTCTTGTTGCCCAAGGAATGCTCCTTTCAACGATACCAAATTTGTTAAAGATTATTGCAAACACAATTGAATGCCCCACACCATCTTTGTTTTTGAAATAACTGAGTTTTTGTTTTTACGAAAATGATAAAACTGGTTCTCTTTAAAAATGTGAAAACATTATTTTAGTTTATTATGCGAAATTTAAAGAAAATGCAATTTTAAAATTTAAGATGACAGTTACGCCCTCTGGTGATCATTTTTAGAACTTATATTTGCCAGCGATTCTTCATGACCGATTTACCACTAAGTCATACGACGAACGGTTCTCGAGATAAGTCCGAGTAACAGTCTTATTGGGTCACCCTGTACGTTAGGGGGGATTCCGCCCCCTCTGACGATTGCTAAATGAATAACTATACAGGGTGTTACTAAATAAGATGTAAGTAAGGGACTAATTCTTTGGCTTGTTTTATAACTAAAAGTTCATATAAACATCGATCCTCAAATGCTTCGTTACTGATCTACAAGGGTGTTAAAATTTTGTGTTTTCTTTACATCTCCTACAGTTTGTTGAGATCTTTTGACTCAAATTTGAAATATAAGTTACGTTGAAGGATCATTGGCCATGTCAATCTACAGGGTGTGGTCGCGTTCCATTTTCTACCCCTGAACTTTTTTCGGTGCGCCACTGGTAAATTGTAAAATAAGAATTTCATTTTCTGATTTGTTTGGAAACTTTTTGGTAATTTTTTCATATTTCGTATTAAACAAGCCAAAGAATTAGCCTTTTTGGTATTCACATCATATTTAGAAACACCCTGTACATCCTTCTATTAATTACAGCCGCGACCACTTTTTAAATATTTCTATTAAACTGTGCCACTGGAAGTTCGCGTATCTTCGGCAATTCGGCTGCTGAAAACTGGCTGATAAGCGGAATTCAGTCGGTTTCTTTAATGCCCCAAACTTTCTATTATTAAAGATCAACATCTTTCTTACGGCACATTTTTTTAATGTGGAATCCAGTTTTTATACAGGGTGTTTGGTTTTTTTAAATATTTTTTTCATACAAACCACCCTATACAGTGTGTCCCCGATTGTTTAGTCATTTTCGAATTCAATTTTGAGCTTCTGGGGATAAGCCCTACTTGGTTGGAAATTAATATGTGACGTCACCAAAATTATGACAGCTCTACATACAATGGCGATGTAAAGAAAAGTGGAAGTAGACAAACGAGGTGGGACGGGGAATGAAAAGGTGACAATGGTCCAAGTTGAAATAGCAGTGCCGGTGAATGGAGGTAGAATTGAAGTTCATACGGAAAGTGACCCGAACCGGGGGAGAAACCGGAGAGGGAATAAGGGATGATAAAAGTAGTAGGTGCTGGAATGAAATAAAGGGTGGAGGAGGCGGTAAGAAGGTTTAAATTTTGGGTATTATCTCGGTATTATAGATTTTTCAATTTTTTGAAATTAATTATTTTCGAAAATGAAATTTTGGAATTTAGATTTTTAGAACCTTTTGGAACTTAACAAAATTCGAAAGTTTTAAACTTCTGGCACTACTAGATTTTTGCACTTTTGGGAATTTGCAATTCTGGGAGTTCAAATTACGCAATTTGAGACTCAAAAGATTCGAAATGTTGAGATTTTAGGACAAATAAACTTGGAATATCTATTTTGGAGTATTTAAAGAAGTTGACTGTTGTCACTTTAAATAAATAAACGAAGCTTTTATTAAAACCGATTAAAACAATAGAAGTGTGGAATGTTTCATTTTGGGATTACGACATTTTACGAATTTGAGATTTTTGGAATTTAACATATTGCGATTTTTGAAATTCTGGGTTTTGGAATTTTCGTAATTGTGAATTTAGATATTGAGTTTGGTATTTTTTAAATTTTGGGACTAGGACTGGGATTTTTCGAACCTGGAAGATTTGAGAATTTTGCAATTTTTGGGAATTTGTGATTTTTTAGTTTTGGGAATTTGACATTATAGAAATTTGGGATTTTGTGAAACCTGGGAATTTGAGATTCTAAAATTTTGAGATTTTTGCGAATTTAAAATTTTGGGAATCCTGAACTTGAGTATGTGAG